CTCAGCTCTGCCATCCCCAGGCTCAGCTCTGCCATCCCCAGACTCAGCTCTGCCATCCCCAGGCTCAGCCCTGGCATCCCCAGACTCAGCTCTGCCATCCCCAGGCTCAGCTCTGGCATCCCCAGGCTCAGCTCTGCCATCCCCAGACTCAGCTCTGCCATCCCCAGACTCAGCCCTGGCATCCCCAGACTCAGCCCTGGCATCCCCAGACTCAGCTCTGCCATCCCCAGACTCAGCTCTGGCATCCCCAGGCTCAGCTCTGCCATCCCCAGACTCAGCCCTGCCATCCCCAGACTCAGCCCTGGCATCCCCAGACTCAGCTCTGCCATCCCCAGACTCAGCTCTGCCATCCCCAGGCTCAGCTCTGCCTTTCCTGCTCTCACCAACAGCCCCTATCAGAAATAATCCCACAGGAGAGTCAATCCCCCCACTGCTCTCCCTCACACTCACATTTTACAGCCCCATCTGCCCGTGTTCACTGGTGAAGGGCTCTGGGGAACAGCCCATTTCTCAAGAGTTGAACTTTCTGCCCCAAAAACTGTCCCAGCCTCACTGCTCACCTGGATGTAGAAGGTCCTGGAGCTCGTTATAATTTCAAAGAGGTTGTCCCGCATCAGGAGGTCTCTAGAAACAGTGAGAAAGAGGCAGTCACACGCCAGCAGTGGACAGAAAACCCCTGTATTTATCCTCATCTCTGGAGYGTGCCAGGGAGAAATGTATTGAAGGCAAACCTTGGATCCCATTGGGATTTTGAGAAGTGTCCAGCTCCCCACAGCTTCAGCCACAAACCACCCAGCTCCACCATCAAAATTAGTTATTAGGAATAAACAGTTCAGAGATATAGCAATACATTGTATTTTTACTTTAGCTGAAGATGTTTGTTTCCTCGGGTAATTTTTCATTTCATTTGATCAGTGTTTGCTGTAATTACTTGTTCCTGAGACACTGCAGCCCCCTGGGCGAGCTGGAGGCAAACACCTCGAGAGCCCCTGAGGCTGGGCCAGCGCAGGGAACACGGGGGGAGCATTACCCAGACTTGACCAGGCACTCGTGGGTCTTGCAAACATCCTTCARGAGGATCGAACGCAGGGGCTCCTTGTCCTGCAGAGGCAAAAGGAGATGGGATGGGCTTGGCTGGGATGTGCCTCCCCTGTGCCAGCGGTACCAGAGCTCTGCAGGAGCTGCTCACCTGCTCACACTTGTAGTAACTGATGGAAAACTCATCCAGAACAAAGAACCGCCTCTTCCAGCTCTTCCTCTGAAACAGAGAAGGGAATGGCTCGGTGTTGAGGACTGCCACTGTGCTGTGCTCCTGCAGCAGAGCACTCCTGGAGCTCCCCAGCCCTGCCCAGCACTCACCACATTGCCCTGCTTGACACAGAAGCCACTCTTGAGCGGGGGTGGCCCGGCGGGCACCTTGGTGGCCGAGGGGGGGATGTAGCTCTGCGAGCGCCGCAGCAGAGGGTGAGCGGCCACCTCAGTGCCCTCCCCACCATCCTGGAGCACAGAGAACAGAGTTACTGCGAGCCAGGACAGCCYGCTGCAGGGCAAAGTGTCCTGACAGCAGCCTGGGTGAGTGTGAGCCATGGGCTACTGACAGTGCTGAGCACCAGCCCTGGGTGAATGTGAGCCAAGGGCTACCGACAGTGCTGGGTGAATGTGAGCCATGGGCTACTGGCCATGCTGGGCACGAGCAAGGGAATGAGCCAGAGCAGAGCTGATGTTCTCTCACTCTGAGCGCTGCCCAGCCCCTCTGGAGAGCAGGGACACAGCACAGGGATGGCACTCACGCCCCTTGCCCGGGGCTGCCCCGGCTCTGCGGGCATCACAGGTGAGTTTGTCCAAAGCCAGAGGTGGGGACAGAG